GGTCACCTTGGGATTTAGAGCTTGTCATTGGCTGTTAGGGACATGAGGCAGGTTGTGATTGGCTGTTCATTATCACATGATGATCGCTGAAGGTATAACATTTCCTTTCCGCCCTCAGTCGGGCGGCCACATCTGACAGACTTCTCTGATTGTTTTCTGTTTTATGTCTGCCCATTTAATAAATGATTTTACGACCATACTCACAAGACTTTTTGTCTATTTAACATCCTTTCAACGTGTTTTCTGCCCATCTTGTCACGACAGTAGGTATGAAAAATGTTGACCCATTTATTTTTAACCAGTGGATCACATATATTTTAAACTGAAAGAACATTCTACAATTTAATAAAAAAAAATTAGAAGACCCTGAAAAATAAAACATAACAATAAAAACAAAATATACTTTAAAAGTGTAAAATAACAATTCAAAGTCACTCCAGTTATTTTTTAAACTATCTGTCAGCCTGGTGCTGCTTTATGGTGGGAAAAACTGAAGGTGGGGACCAAAAAAAGGCACATTATTGTCCAATGTCCAACTGTTCAAATTTAAGAGTTCACAGTTCAAATTTTACTGACTGTGTCCAAAACAACGTGATCMTTGCACTTAATCTTCACTAAAACAAGTGTGTAAACAGATTAAACATCACTCTACAAACAAGCAAAAAATAATAAGAATTATTCAGTTAATTAAATTGATTGAACTTTTCTTACTGCTGCATTTCCACATTCTACAGTCTGAGCATCATGTGGAGATTAGCCTCTGGCTTCTGCAGGGAGCAGTTTTTAGCACTGCTCGCTCATATTCCAAAGCAAACGCTGCGCTTTCCTTTCTTCTGTCAATCAATCCCAGAGCTAATCCACAGGCAGCATTCTGCTGATGTCAAAACCGTAAGCTTGCTGTACTTGCCTATAGAACCATCGACCAGAGAGGAGGTTCTGAAACGGCGTGGCTGTGCGCGTTTGGAACCACGGAGGCACTGGACCTAGGCCGAACCACATAGCTGCTGCCTGGGTGGAAAGTAGAGCCTGGTTGTCTCTCTGCTTTAAAACGTTTACGGTTCTGTGCCCCCACAGAAAACTTGTGCGTGACAATTTTGTACTTAGCTGCAGCAGTGTTTCTGATGAAAATAGAAAGTACTGCCGACATCGCTCCTACTTCTTGCTAATTTGTTAGCGCATCATGTTGTTGTGATCACGTGGGCTCTACATGCTGGATCCAAGTGCTGCTGGATAGAAATACTGGAGTGGACTGCTTCTATCAGAGTGCTTATTTATTGGAGATTTTAGATGCAGGCCGATAAAATCCGATAGTTTTTTGGCTGATATCGGACCGATAACAATATCAGATCGGGACACCCCTATTAGATACTGTGCAGCTGGAAGGATTTTTGCTAACATCAATTTTGCTTTTGGACCTTTTGTTATGATGCTTAACCATAGCAACATGTAGGTTTGTCATAACCAGCAGCAGCTGATTAACATTTCAAAAGCTCAAAGAAGACCTCAACTACAGCCCCGAATCCCAGATCAGTTGAAAAGGAGGTGCCGTGGATGCAGAGCAGGAGCAAAAAGGAGGGAGAGAAGGAGGTAGTTAAAACCATATCTTCCATCAACAGTGTTTCCCCTACCATTATAC